TCTGTTAGGCATTGTGTTGTAAGCAAAGTCAGCTTGAGGTAATAACTCATCCCATAATTTTGGATGCTCTTGCACTAGACAAAGCATATTACCAGGTGTCCGATTAACCACCTCCTGACTCAAAACAACTACAATATCAATGGTCGAAGCATCTGTATCCATATGGAACAGCTTGTTAAAATTTGGCAAAACAAGAACTGAAGTAGCGCACAAAGCTGACTTGATGTCTTCAAAACTGGATTGCTGATTATCAGTCCATCGAAAAACTTTCAGTTTGAGAGAATTTGTGAGAGGTGTGGCAACTAAGCTAAGCTAAAGACTTTGTAAATCTTCGATAGAAATTTGCTAAGCTCAGAAAATTACGCACGTCAAAAAATGATTTAGGGACTGGCCACTACCAAAAAATCAAGCTTACGTAGCACATATTTGGACTTTTCCCGGCGGTTTTACCCACCACTATTTTTTTTTGCACCGCTGGATGTCCGCCGTGATTTTAATGCGCTGCAAAGATATTCCGCAGCGGTTTCAGGACCGGCGGGTTAGAACTGACGAATGCATAATATAGCAGCGGTTTTAACCACGACAATATTCCAGATTTGAAGCGGTTATAATCGCAACGAATGTTTTAAAAATAAATGCTTTGCAGATTTGTGCGGTTTGAACTGCCACATTTCTGCAACGTTGTGGCGGTTAAAACCGCCACAAATTTCTAGATTTTTTTTTTTGGTAGTGGGCCACTCAACTATGGTCACAATCTTTTTTGGATCCATCTGAATACCTTCAGCCAAGACAATAAAAACGAAGGAAATATACATTTTAAGAAGCCAGCTCACACTTAGAGAGCTTTAGGTACAATTGGTTGTTTCTCAAAGTAGTAAAAATATTAGTTAGATGTTTTATGTGATCAACCATAGATGCACTGAAAACAAGTATGTCATCGAAATAAGCAACACAATACTTGTTTAAAAATGGTTTTAAAACTTCGTTCATTAGTTGCATAAAAGTAGATGGTGCATTGCAAAGCCCAATGGCCATTACCTTCCACTCATAAAGTCCTTGATGGGTCTTGAAAGCGGTCTTCTACTCGTCACCAAGTCGAATACAAATTTAATGATTCCTGCTATGGAGATCAAGCTTGGAGAACACATTAGAGCCTGTAAGTTTTTTAAGTAGATCTTCAATCCTTGGAATAGGAAATCAAAATTTAATAGTTATCTTCTTAGTGCTATGGAATCAAAATATGCTTTCAAAACTAATATATATATCTTTTTGCATTCGTGTTGTAAATCTACATTAGCATATACATTTGATATCAAATATTAGGTTGGAGTTGTTATATATTGTATTAGGTTTTGTTCTTCAATTGATTCACATCATAACTCACTCATGAAATTGCTTGGCTTAAACAACTAATTCTTTGTTTCACACTTCAATTTCAAGTGAATGTTTTTTTCTTGCCTTGCAATATTTGCAGTAGTGCCTGTGATAATCTTCTAAGCAATTTTTTATTGAACCATTTCCACAATCATCTTCTTTGAATGGATTTATGCATTGAATGAAAATAAGATAACTACCAAAAGATTGTCAAATGTTTCTAAACAACCAACAAACCTATCACTAAACAAATGTCTTTTTCTTTTAAATGAACATGTCATGTTGGTCTTTTTTTTTATTTGGAAAGATCAAAAGATTAACTAGACATCATATTTTATTCATTTTGAATTCTTCATGATTCTTGAACTCACTTGTTTTAACATTCTGCATGATTACTTTTGTCATAGGATTTCTTTTATTATTAGTTGGTTCTACACTAAATGATCATAAAGATATGCAGAAGATGTACTTGGGACAATTATTGCTATGTTTTGAAGCGTGGGGTCTTATTTGGAGGAGCATTTTTATAGCTTGCAAGTCTCTTTAGTAATTATTTAATATTTGGCACTTCAAAAATAAAAAGTTCGCAACCAAGGGATCCTCCACATAATCAAGGGATTGCTTTCGGATTGCCCCATATCCCTCATCGGACCGAAAATCAAGTCTTTTGCACGAGGATACATACAACATGCAACAAGTTTTGTAACAAAAATTTTGAGTTTGCAAAAGACCAGAACAATATCTTTATAAATCTAACTATAGAATTGAAACTATTTATAACTTTTGTGGTGTTTGCAGAAGACCAAAAGACCATAATTCTTCAGCACTGTATAGGAGCTTTGTGTGATGTTTATTTGTGATAAAATATTCTATTGTTGTAGGGGAAATTGCAGTGTTGGGTCTTACTATTTTATGTGCATTTTTTGTGGATTGTATTTAAGGAATCTAATAGTTAGCGGTTTTATCTATTATGATATTGTATTATTTGCAGATGATATCTAAATGTTAGTCATATTTTGATATAATGATTTATTCTAGATAAAATTATATTATGAGTTAGATTATATTGAATTAAATATAGCATGGTTTGTTGAATTTTTTTATTTAATAAATGTTTTTTTAAGAAAAAGATAAAATGATAGGTTAATGATGATTAATTTTTTATTTGATGATTTATTTTGTGTTATTTTATTAATTTTTTTATAGTTTATTAGTTTTAAAATTTATGTATATTTTTTATGTATTTGTGAAATGAAAATATCATTCAATCAAGGAGGAATGTGGTCCTTTTTAGCAATTGTAATTAGCTTCTTTGTTACTTAATGCAATTTGGATGCATTTCTTCAAAAAAAAAAAAAAGAAAATATCAAAAAAATAGTTGGATAAAAAGTTTTGAACTTTTTCTTATTAATATTTATATTTTTATCCAATAATTTAAATAATACATAATGAATTGCACCAATTTTTATTAAAATTCATAAATTTGATCATGCTTAATTATTAAGTTATATATTAAATTATTAGTATAAAATATAAAATTAGTTGAGTCTTATTAAATCTTAATTTTGATTTGAATTGAAAAGAAAACTTATTAAGTTTGAATAAGATTTAAAATTCATGGAATGTATAATCTGTGCTTGAATTTGATAAGAAAATAAATGAATGAATGTGATCAATATAGAACAAAACTCAATTTAATTTATATATATCCCTAAACATCAGGAGTAGATCCAACTTCTTTTTGTAAGGTGGACAAAATTTTAATTAATTAGATAACTATAACACACTACAGGAAAAATGGCCTATACCGGCGGTTTTAACCGGCGGTTTTAACCGGCGGTTTATAGGCCGTCGGTATTAC